CCCTGGCAGAGGCTATATACGCGTGGCCATGTGAGAGCATTTCGAGAGGGAGAGCGAACTCTCCCCACTCTCGGCCGTACCAGGGCATTTGGGGGCGACGACTCCACAATGTTTAGTACTGTAGTGAACGCAAACACCAGTGGGTACTAGCGGATGTATTCGAACACAAAATTGCAGTCTCGTAGTAAAATCTGAGATACCACTTTCCTCATCTAAATTTCCAAGTGTTGAACTTTTACTGGAAGATTCACCTGTTAACTTAGAATATGCCGATGACATAGTTCTATTTGGTGAAGACGCTGACAAAACGCAGTCTTCTGACCACCGTAAGCAACAATGCAAGCATGTTCGGGATGCGATTCTCCCCCTCAAAATGCAAATTGTAGCTTTATGATTCGGTTGCATCGACACCTGAACTGATGGTAAAAAGTGAAGTAGTTGAGCGTGTCGACCGCTCCACTTGTCTTGGGAGTCTCATCAGCCCTTATGGTCTAGTGTGTGGCAAAATCTCATCACAGATACAGAAGGCTCGACTAGCTTTTGCCAACTTGCGTCATTTATGGCGTAGGCGAGATACCAAAGGACGGGGTTACTGTGCAGTAGTCCGTCCTACGTTATGGCTGTGAAACATGGCCGGCAAGAGTAGAGGATATTCGTAGGCTACTAGTATTCGATCACAGGTGTCTTCAAAGTACTGCTCGTATATCTTGGGACCACCGAGTAAGGCAGTTGTTAGGAAACAGGTACTGGGTAAGGATGGCAAATCAATTGATGAAGTAGTGAAACCTAATCAGTTGAGATGGCTGGGACATGTGTTACGTATGTCCAACCACCGACTGTCTCGACGTGCGATGTTTTATGGTGTAGGAGAAAGTTGGAAGAAAGCTGAGGGTGGCCAGACCAAAACATGGCACAAATCCATGAAGTCACTGACAAGTGGACTGAACCATGTTGGTGAGTGTAGACTACCTGGTTGGGGTCCGCGAGATGATAGCAACCTTGAACGACATGACTAGAAATCGTTTGTAATGGCGCAGATACATCCACTCTTTGTGTTCTCCGAAATTCTAATCTTCTGAATTCTTCATGTCCCTTTTCTCTCTTTCCAAATTTATTTCACTGGATTATACTCCTTAAATAAAATCTTCAAACCTTAATGTTTCTGATTACTGCTTATACTTTTACTACCTCTAACACTACGGGATTTGTATCGACGATTGTATCTCTGTGCTAATATGGTATGGCAACTCGAACTGATGTATGTACCTACGAAGTTCTACGTTGTTGACTAACTGACTGATTAATCGGAAATAGGCCAATGATTAGAAAATTATAGACACTGCAATAACCTTCCCCCAAATGCCCTGGTACGGCCGAGAGTGGGGAGAGTTCGCTCTCCCTCTCGAAATGCTCTCACATGGCCACGCGTATATAGCCTCTGCCAGGGAAGTTCTACTCACTGCATTCTCGTGGCGGGGGTGTTGTTTACGAAATTGAGAGCACGAAAAGCGAATGTCCGGCGCTTTAACCGGGTTGGTGGACATGGAGAGTCCACCTAGGGGAGTTGGGAAACCCTGATTCCAAATCAATGGTGTACATGAGCTCCAGTATTCTGAAGGAAAAAATGGCGTATGAACCAATCGTTGGTCACCGGCTACCATGGGACTGCATCTCCTTACGATGCTCCACTGCCTTGTGGATCAGATCTTCAGGTCGAAGGCTCGGGGTGTGGCCCCCTAAGAAAACCACCTGCTTCGGTTTGGGCACCCGGGCAGTATCACAGCCCTCACACAAATCAATTGAGATTCGTGTGGCGCATATGTATTTTGTGCCTCCTTGTACCAATACCTATGTGTTAAAATAAATAAATAAACATTCGTAATAAAAGGTGTTAAGATAATTGGACCGTGAAGCGTATATTTGAGAAAAGAATCTTTGTGTTCATAAGAGATTTATAAACACTCTTATCACTCCCTTGGCCTTAATAAATGATTTTATTTACTATTATTTTCTATACTCTTTCTTCGTTTATTTTTCTTTACACCCTGCATATTAGAGTAGAACCTGATGATGATCTAATCGAAAACATTATTGTTCGCTTGTATATGTTGTTCTAAATTACAATGGTGATTGTTCATTGTGTAGTATGAAATTAATAGACAGTAGTCTACCCACTTTACACTTCAGGAAGATACAGAAAGTTCATAGCTAAGGTGAAGAATTTCAGTAGTGTCGTATTCAGCTAGGTACCTTGGTACTTATGCTTTTATTTTCATTCAGAACAACACCAACACGCACACACTTCTATACATAGCCCCGTTTCATAGATTTTTAATCTGTTATGTTATAGTAGGTGTTATAGTAGGATCTGTGGGTAGACAGTTTTAAAATATCTCTCAGTTAGGATTATTAATTGGTTATCTTGAAAGTTTATGTTTTTAACGTTTGAGATAAGATACTTCAGACATTTTTGCTCCTAGTTTATATCCTGCTTCGGTTTGGGCACCCGGGCAGTACCACAGCCGTCACACATATCATATGAGATCTGTGTGGCGCATATGTATTTGGTCCCTCCTTGTACCAATATCTATGTGTTAAAATAGAATAAATCCTAGTTTATATAAAACTGGCTTTTTGACACTCTAAGTGAGCGGTTACCAAACCTTCATGTTCAAACGTCTCCACTATCATCAAAATATTCTCAATAAAAAGCTTGAGTTATTTATTCACGTTGTTAAGGAATGGAACAAAATATCAATATTTCATTACACAAGTTATATCCTACACTGGCTAATTAGGTGAGAAGTACAAACACTTCAGACCAACCATACTTTGTGTCCACACAGTGAATCTACAACACTACTTATGGCTGTCAGTATTAGCCTTAAAATCTTCATAAACACAGATGTTACCTTCAAAACACCAAAAAGGTGTATCTCATAAAAAGGTACATACTCTACACCTGGTAAACTTGTACCAGACTAACTCGATGACCAGCCGTCTGAATTTCAGTAATACAATACAGATAGGTTTTAAATCCTACCCATAAGACAGTTACAATGTTCACTTCTGTTTATTGAATTGCCAGTTTTGAATAAGTATAATCATCAATTTGTTCACTACCATATATTTAGTACAGTGTGAAATTCTCAGCATAAATTATTTCAATAGATTTCTCCTCTACTACTACGGGGTTTGAATCAACAACTGGTATGGCAACTCGAACTGATGTACGTACGTATGAAATTCCACGTTGTTAGTGACTGACTGATTCTTCATATATATCACAAAAGTATACTTACATAAAATGGATTTGTTAAATTAGATGACATTTTTGAAGTTGTTTAATAGTACCTCAGAAATCAACATAGATAGTTGGAGTGATCTCGGATTCCGCACTGGTTCGAAAATGTCTTCTGCTTAAGTTTTAACCTTAAGTCGTCTGGTAATTAGTGGGTCATTAGAATAACGTGATTAGACTTACTTTGTGTCGAGATAAAACAAACTAAGCTCAGAAAACAATTTAGTGAGGTGTATTATTGTACGCTCTATTCGTATGACAGCTGAATACAACACTAAGCTTAAACAGTGGAACTCTTTGGTGTTGTTCGAAAGCCGACAAGACATGTCTTCAGTCATGACCACTGTCGTAAATTCATCTTTTCAACAAAAACAGTGTAATTAATGAGTTTGCTAGAGGCGTAACTGGAACTTTTTGGTACTTTAGGGGTTAACGAATCCTTAGTATTCCTTATTATGCAGTTGTAAGCTCAAACCTGCACATTCGGCGTACATATCACCTTTCACTTATTTTTGTATCGTGTATAATTTTTTGCCGTGCATCTGTTCTTGCGATCTTCTGTTTTATGTAAATACTAATGAACATATGCTTTAATATGTCATACATACTTTTTCCAACTGATCACCTAGTACTTTTTATTTAGTTTAAGATCGAATCCGGATTATGATCCCATGCTCGTCTCATTGGTTTTACTATATCTTCGCTCACATATTAGTGTAAAACTGTGTTATAAGTAGGTTTGTTTATTCATAATCACTTATTTGAATTCGGGACTTCAGAAACTGGTAGGTTTGCTAAGAAGAATAGTATGCGTTCGGTAAATAAGTATGTACTTTTAGTGGAAAAATTTTCATGCCGGCTAGTTTTATCTAATATACATTCTAAGCAAAGGTGGATGATAGTGGCTAGCAGTGGAATCCAGGACGCGCGTTTCGTCCTATTTGGGACTCGTCAGCTGGATGTACCTGCATCTCAGAGTTGATGTTCACTCCGGGACTCGAACTCAGTACCGTCCGCTTCAAACGCCATCGCGTTATCCACCTAGCTACTGAGTCCTGATAGCCACTTGCTTGTGCAATGGGGTGAAGTTTAATTCACTTGATATTGTTTTTTTTTTCATTTGTTTGAATCTTCCCATTGATGTTTAGGACTGAAATTGTTCAGTCTCTTATTGGCATATGTGCATACTGTGCGTATGCCTCGATATTGCCTTAATTTGAAGCGGACGGTACTGGGTTCGAGTCCCGGAGTGAACATCAACTCTGAGATGCAGGCACATCCAGCTGACGAGTCCCAAATAGGACGAAACGCGCGTCCTGGATTCCACTGCTAGCCACTATCATCCACCTTTGCTTATAATGCTTGTAAATTAAGGCAATATCGAGGCATACGCACAGTATGCACATATGCCAATGAGAGACTGAACAATTTCAGTCCTAAACATCAATGGGAAGATTCAAACAAATGAAAAACAAAAAAAAAACAATATCAAGTGAATTAATATACATTCGTTGAGAAATCAGCTACTCATAAGTCGTATAGAAAGTATGCACTTTGAAATTTTCTCTACAAGAGTATCAAGTTTCACGTTGGTTGAATTGAAAATACTTATAAGTGGTCAATCAACTCATCGTATGCGGTCGACTTACTGATAGTTAAAAGATAAAAGTACTACAACTAAACATTGGAACACATAGTTACGTGTGTATTAAATATATAATTTAATCAGATTAGTGTTGATTAAAAACATAAAATTATTATTGTGATTCAGTAGAAGTAACTATAATCAACAAAGAGGGATAAAACATATTTGAATTTTTCAGAAAAAATGAAATCTTAAGAAGCATTACGTTTAAAGTTGGTGTATTTTGTCAATGAGGACGATGATAGTACAAAATAAAGCCCAAATTAAAGCTATTATTATCCAGAAAAAGTGCTGAAATGGTGATGCATGCATCGAAATAGACAATAAATAATGGTTGGAACATTTTTCTATAATTTGAACAGAATGTGGTGCTGTCATGTGATTTGTTGAGCCATATATGATATTCTCATTCTCCGTATTATCATTACTGGAAGTTGGTTGTACCATTTCATCACCAACAGTTGTCGATGTCGTATCGTCATTTTGCTGTATACCTGTTGTTGTTTCAAGACTAGATTCTTCCAGAAGAACACGGTTTTTAAAGTATCGACGTGCTTTAAATACTAACAGCGCTGGTATTATATACTGTATACCTGAACCAAAAATTGCCCCAGTAAAACCAGTCAAATATCCAACATTATTAGTTATTAATGCAATCCCTAATGGTGGCAATAATACGATAAATGGTAATGTGTACTTCAAAATGTTTTGAGCTTTATCACTTTTGAATACAGAGAAGAAGTTACATAAAGAAAAAATGTTTCCAAGTAAACTAGTGCCAACTATTGGAAAAGATGAAGTTAACGCAAACGCGGGAAATAAACATAAAAAATAACCTATTACTAAAGCTAATGTATAAGGAATTCGTGATATATCAATAAATTCATTGTTCGGTAAAAAATTCAATGTGTAAATATCTTCAATATGATTAAATGCAATGATAGCTGTAGTAGATAATAAGAGATTAAACGACAGAACTGTAATGAAAACAGGTATAAATATTGTACATAGTATTTTACTCTTATTTCTAACAGGAGTTACAATACCAGGTATAGAATGATGGCACATAAATACGTACACACAAACTCCGAATAAACTTGGTATATTTTGAGGTTGAAAGGCTGGCGGTTTTGGAATAGGTTCAGATTTTATAAGTAATGAATAGATTGAAGGATTCCAATACATACTAACATTATGGTGAAACGTTTCAACTGTAATATTTTTGTGCAGAATAATAGCTCTTTCAATTGAAAGACTCAACATTAAAATAAAGCCGATCCATCGTAAACAAACGGTCAGTAGTTGAAGCCATCGAGAACGAATTACATTGAAGAACAAGAATGGGCAAACACATGCACCAAAACAAACCTATGAGAAAAATAAGCACGACAAATTGGTGACAGTTGCCCTAACATTATGTAAAAATGCTATTATATTTATCATGTGATAACGTAACTTACCCAATAACTGTTTGACTTAAAACTAAGATATATTCGGAATGCTGTGTTTAACATAAATGCACAAAAATCTCGACCATTTTCAGTAAAACAAATGGTCCCATAATTTTAAAGATAATGCATTTGAATGATGTAACGTAACGAGCATTAATGGATGTAAAATACCAAATACACTTTCTCGAGTTGCCTGCATTTTAGAACTATATTATTGCATTCAGATATCCCCCAGCTTGTTCAAAGAATATGATATTTATCCATAAGTTTTTCTTACTCCGTTGTTGGTAATCAAGACTGACCAAAATTTAGTCGTGAATATTAACGATGAAGCCATAGAAACACTCTTGAGTAGGATTCCTTATGTTTACGTTTCTACTTCTGTAGATGTTATTTATTATTCTCTGCTTTGTATTTTGATGACTTAATCTCTCCGCCAATCTAGTGCAAGTTATAGTAACTTGGACAGATCCACATAAGTATCAAATCTTACAGTGAATAGGACTGACTGGTTTCTGTTACCTTAACTATTGGCGATGGCTCAAAGGCTTAAGCGTTCGACACACCTACAAATTCCCAGGTTCCAACCTTGTTCTATCTACTTCGGTTTGAGCAGCAACGATTACCTGGTGAATGAGTTAATTAATTTTTAAAAGGTTAAGACCAAACTGATCAATACAAATCTAGTTAATACATGCATACAAAAATGTAATAAGATTTGATAGCATATTCCTACTGTAGCCAACATAGTGTTAGAACGTACTTTGTATCCTTACACTACTGTTACAAGTATCTGCATATTTTCATAATTACTTATTTAGAGAAAAACGACAATTACATAATGAAGGCACGTTACAATTGATAGTTTAGTATACATTGAGCTATATGCCATATAGATAAGATCGATTCCTATTTACACCTGGTTTGGGAACAATGACTGAAGAAACTTAGTCTACACTCCTTAAGATTATGTAGGAAGCTGCATTTTTCATGATAAGTTGGTGACCAGTAATATTTCAATCCTAATTCAAAAAACTTATTTGATAATTTCTAAGGCTGTGAAACATAAATTTAAAGCGAAAGAGACGTGCGAATTACAGGCATTTGACCATGGATTTAATCTTAATAATGCCCTTACGCGCGAACTACGTTGGGTTTATGTGTAATCTCTTAGGCGGAGAAATCAGGTCTGCAAATTTAGTTGTAAAGATGTGCCAACTAAGATGGCTAAGAGACTCATAACAAGCGATCGATTGTGAGATTACTAATTGACACATAATTCCCATTCAGTCATAAAACAAGAAGTCCAGCGAAGGGATCTCTTTTTCAATTAATTTATTATCAAGCTGTATAATCGTACATATATATGGAAATTTTTCGTTAAAGTACTAGTTCCCTGAGTAAATGTGAACACGAATAACCAAGATGACGTAATAGAAAGATTAATCTTTTAAGTAGTTGTGACAAGAAATCTAGTTGTTCCGTTCCAAAGAAAAACTTTTATATAAGTTTGGAATTCAAAAGTGATCGAGCTTCTGATGTGATCAAAAGTCGTTTAACGACAGCGACTAAAAGAACATTCAATACGGCGAAACTGCGAATAACGTTTGGTAGCAGGAACTTATTTTCTGTACCCATAAAAAATAAGCTTTCCCATCTGGTCACCTCCATGTGCATCTATCAGTTCACCTGCTCTTGTGGAGCAAGGTACGTTGGCCGTAGCCAGCAATCATTTTCAACTCGGATACGTGAACACGTCCCAGTTTGGTTCTACAAGGGTGAGGAAGGCAGTTAGGAGCTCTATAGGTGAACACCTAGTCGACTGTAATCATTCTACGGATCCAAAATTTGATTTTAAGGTTGTATATACGACTCGTTCAAACGTACCTAGATTTCTTCGTATTCAACTCCTAAGAATAGCCGAAGCTCTTACCATCCATGAGCTCAAGCCAGAACTATGCGCACAAAAGAAGTACGTCCTATCGTTATCTTGGCCTTAATTATTGTTATTACTGAATTGCCCCTTTACTTATGTCTCATATTCTCATTATTTTATTCATAAGTACTCATCATACCACTTTATTTATTTTTTATACCTCCATGACCTTTAATTATTGTAACAAAAACATTTTAGTCATCTTACTACATTCACGTTATAATTCGTTACTAACTTACAAAGTCTATTTTTATTATTTACATTACGTAATCTATTACTATAATCTTTCTATTACGTCATTTTGGTTATTCGTGTTCACATTTCCTCACGGAACTAGTACTTTAACGAAAAATTTCCATATATATATATATATATATATATATATATATATATATATATATATATATATATATATATATATATATATATATATAAACAGCCTGATAATAAATTCGTTGAAAAAAGATCCCTTCGCTGAACTTCTTGTTATTAATTAATTCGATATGATAAACGTTCAGCTCAACATTCGACCAAATATTGACTTCAGTAGACCGCCCTGTTAAACAGACTGACGGTGATGAAACTATGACTGTAAATTCAGTGACCGTTGCTTAGAGTGCTGTAACAAAAGATTTAGAATTTCTGACTAAGCATCTTTGAGTGGCAGAAATCAGTAACTGCAAATCACAAATAACATATATCAAATGACGCAAGTGATTTCACTGTATCTTCCTTTGACTGGTTGATTAATTCCTTTCTTCACCTATTTCTTGAGTAGTAACTCAATGAAAATCATTCATTTCCGTAATCAACCTGATGAGGAACATCTTTCAGCACCGATTAAAGAATATAGAAGGTATGAGGATCAAATTACAAATGTCAGCAACCGAACAAACATAGGTTCATTCAGGAGAAAACAGAAATAAAACAGATTAAGACTGAGTAAAAATAGGAATTTAACAGGATGCATGATAGTTAATTAATCTGGTACACACTTATTTGCCAACGCTCTTTCAACGAAGACAAGAGTATATACCCTAAGACCCGGTCAAATGAAGCAAGAAACAGATTGAAAGAATTACTGCTCTCTACTAGGTTTACTTTTCACGAACATTTTACTATAAAAGCGCTAAAAGGAGCCATTTAAACCGTTATACAACCAATTACTACCTAATACTCATACAAGGAAGATATTTTTCGGTAGGCGTACTAACCTTATTTGCTTTTAAGATACTAATTATATGCCAAATACTAGAAGTAAACAATTTAACGGAAATAGATACTAAAATGACTCTGAGCCCGAATATATGGGTGAGAAAACGAGACTGAATAATAGCTATTTGTTAAATAAATTTACTACTGAAAGAGAAGCTAGACAACAGATACCCATTATTATATTTTAAACTTACCCATCCCCCCTCAATATATCAGTTAATGATTTCAACGGACTCACAGATGAATTTCCTAACTTTGAGACGTATTCTTTATTTGTAATACTATGTAAACGATGTGAGTAGTTATCTACTTAAAATAAAAGTTTTACTCTTTTCCTAAATCCATTTACTGCACGAAAAACCGAATTTTACAATTACCCTATTTTTCCTTAATGTTGAGAACTCACAGCAATAACTGAATAACCTAAAATGCGCAAACTATCTACAATTATCATGGTTTAAAATTGAACCTTTTCATTCATGAACATGTTCTGATCATAACCTTTAATTCCTTATGAAGATTGCTTCACAATCTGATTATACGGCCAATTTGAAACTACTATATATTTATTGTGCATATATTTAAAAATAGTTCGTTTCAAAAAAGTAAAGAAATCTAATGAAACATTTTTTCCAAGTAGTTTTCTGAAAACTTCATTTAAATTTCATCAAGTGCTTATGACAGACTGGAGAACGATGACGATCTTTCTTTAGTTCGGAAGTGAGCCCTTTCGATAAGTTCCAAACCAACACAAAACAGTAGATCAATGGTCTTTGGTTTTTTAATAATTCTGTGGCTTCATGTTAGTAGGTGATGAAAAATATTTTCAAAGGAATTCCTATCCGGTGTATTGTTCAAGTTAAGCTACAAAAAAGTTTCTATAATCCCTATAACTAATCTACTCTACTATATAGATAACTAAATTACTTAAAGTAAAATAATTTAGTAAACCCGGGCACAGAGACGATAATTCAATTGGTGTCACTACCATAAAACATAGACTTAGGTGGCTTTAACATGTCCTACGAATGCCGTCCCAGAGGATTCCATGTCGTGTATTATTTGCCGAAGCTGAGAATGGTTGGATAAAGTGGAGAGATGTTCAGTGTATGATATGGTGTCGTGGTATAAAAGAATGCTGTACAGGACTGGCTCCAGTCGGTCCTTCACGACTCCCCGGTTGAGGTCCTAGAAATGGTGCAACACAGTGGCTAGAGACGTTCTCAGATATGGCTCAGAAAAGAAGCCAGTGGTGATCCTGCTGTAACCTTATCTTACTTTCTTCATAAAAAGTGATCGTAACTTCTTTAACTGAAAGCATTCTTTCTGGTTAGGTTTTTGCTAACTGAACTGTCCCTCCCATTATTATTATTATTATTTCACTCTCATATACTAATTTCTGTTCAATTTTTTTTATCATACGCACTTTACATTACCTATCTCTTCACAACCTCATTGTTATTGTGTGGCGCATACGTATTTGGTGCCCCCTTGTACCAATGTTTGTATTCAAATAAATAAAACTAAGACTTTACAAAATAATAATTTAGGCCAAAGAAGAATCATTTTTCTAACGCCACCTTCGTATAATACACTGGTTCCATTGACGAGTTTACTATAAAACTCTATGCAAATAAGACGTAAAATGAGTAATTACGAAATACAAATTAAAAGTATATGCTAGTAAATTGACATTTTTCGATAATACATTGTAAACAATGTGGTCGGGATTGTATTGATTGTAATATGAACTGATATATCGTATGAAACCGATAACAATGCGTATTATATGACAAATATTACCGATCAAAATAATAACTTACAACTAATATCCTATATACATCTAAGCGAGTGAGAGATAACGATTCCCAACAAAGATCTGAATCCGACAAAGAATCCCGTGAGTTATTAAAAGAACTAAAATACGTTAAAAAATGATAAGTCTCTTTCAAGGCAAAAAACAAGCACTTTGTCATCACAAATAAATAAATTTACTGTTGCCATATACACGTTCATCTATTTAGTATTTTCGAGCACACTCCAAAATATTATTTTTCCATACCAATGCCGGAATCGAAATTCTTAATACCAATCAATAAACAATTTAGCTGTCGACGATAGATAAATCCCGTAATTCTTAACCATTGAAAAGGTTAGGAATATTTGATAAGACCATCTTTCGAGTAAAGGATGTTGATAAAAATATGTCTATAAATTTAAACGAGTGAGTCAGCCCATAAGGTTGTCAACTTGAAATAAATAGGATGAGAATGCTAGACAATCTGATATATTCATACTTTTTTGAAAATCAGTGGCTAAAGTAACAGAAAGCTGACAAGGTAATGCCACCAAGAAACAAGCTGATTGAAGGCTTATGTAAGGTGAATTTATTCGGAAACCCAAAAGCTTATAAACTAGTCTCAAATAAAATTTAGCCAAGCGACAAATATCAGGATAGATAGCTAACCCAAAAATTATAGGAAAAAGACGCAGCAAATTTGAATGACTGTAATGTGGATATACAAAATTCTGACTGACCAGATAACATTGCGTAACGACTTTGGAACTGCTGAAGCGTAGATAGTTAGGTCACCATATAAATACGCACAAATATTGATGTACATCAAAATATTCCCCATTTTGCCAAAATAAAAGAGCGACATTTGACCCTGAAAAAGAAGTATTACAAGAAGAGAAAACACTAACAAGCTCGTATTTCTCCGTAATTTCGAAGTCACTTGAGACAATTCTAGTGGTAACTTTAAAATAAACATATGAGAGTCGATGACATACCACTAGACATTCCACCAACTAAAGTTTTATTGTCTTCATGCTCTTCACCCTCCTAAATTAAAGTAAGCTTTTAAACGCGATAAAAACTTGCGAACATATAGATACTCAGATTTGTGTAATGCATTGGTTATAGATAACGCTTCAATAACAAATGTAAAAGTTAAAAAGCTGAGAGAATAGAAAGTATGCAACTTACCTCAAAAAGCACAGAATAACTACAACACATGCAGAGATCAACCATCCTGCTTGTTGAAACGCGGCTGGAAGTGTCAAAACGCCAGTGCCCACAACAATGTTGAAAAAAAAAATAAACCCAGTCTACAAATAATTTCACTTGTCTGAATGCTAACCAAAGAAGAGTATCCCCTTCCTACCGGGATCGGTAAGTTTGACATCGTTAGATGCAACTCGACCAGATGGCTGGATTTGCTGTTAGAGTGAATTATCAGGTGAATACAGACTCTTCGCCTAGTGAGAGCCTATCGAATTGCGGTTACCGAACTCAAAGTGCAGATGCAAATAATCGATTATTTAGTCGTTTGTAAATCAAAAGCTGCTTCTACCTAATCGTTATAACGTACAACCTTGAACGTTTGAAAATGTGCGTCATCGACTTCTGGCTAATGTAAAATATCACCATGGTGAAACAATAACCCTTAAAAATATGTTGACACATTACGAAAATAAAGGTATGCATGTGAAAGACAATTTCGAAAGGCATGTTGAGGTCATTTTAAGTTTTTGATTCCGAACAATTATAGTTTAAAACAGTGAAGAAGACCGGGATGAACTAAACTTCGCTTCGTAATTTCGGTCGTCTACTTAGCAACCAATCAGAATGAAGATATAATTATTTCTTTTTTCATCTTTGTAAGCAATGGAGGTTAGCCTGCCTTGTTCTGCGTTTTTCCTTTGTTTTTTTGGTGCTGACGAATAATTTAATCATTCCGTGTGCTGAGATTCCTCAAATAGAGAGATACTCTTAATTTTATTTGAGATCACAACTGTGAAAGCTAAAGGATAATATTTCTAAAAATATATTTGTCATCAATCCTCACTCAACTTGCGGCTTTTGAGAATGATAATCATATGAATAAATTTCCATCGTCTCAAGGCACACTTCGTGTTTCCTTCTGTTATACACTTATTTCATAGAAGTCGAGAGCTTTCTTCATGTCATGGTATTTTGTCCGAACATGACTGACCAAACAAATTGAAGATGCCACAGGTATTCAGAGTTTGACAACGCTTTAACCAGTAACACCTTCTAATACGAAGCGTACCCACCAAGTGAAATCAAAAGACAGAAGCGAGGAGGTCCGTAGATATATTTGATAAGCTATCAATATATCGAGGATCGTTTGCACTAATCTGGCCAGCAATTGCAGCAGATGTTGAGCACGGCGTTCCCACACGTGATCTGGTGCGGATGCATAACCGAGCACCTTCAGCTAGATGAGTCCATTAAAACTAATGTGGTCAGCATCCAATGTCGGATTCATATTAGATAATAAGTGAGTACACTGTGTTACGCATCTCTTTCCATTGTTAGCCAGTATAGACAAGACGCTTCGTGATATATAGATAGCCTTACAAATATACCTTCAAAAACTTCATCTCTGATTTTTGATGGGACTGGGGTGGCATACGTCGATTATAAAGATGTTACGCGCAAAGACGTTGTCAAATTCTGATTACCTATGGCATATTTATACACTAGCAGTTTACCACATTTAGAAAATATGATGAGATCACTAGAAATACTTCGACAAAGTTTCGAGAGTTTATATAATGGTATGATCGAGGCTCCAGTACAGTTGAGTGTGATACAAAACTTCACAAGGAGTATTATGAAGACAAGAATCATGAAGTACCCTTACATCCATGGGAAGCAGTATGGTGAAAAGCTGAAAAACTACCTCCAGGTACACGTGCTAAACTACACAGAAAATAAAGAGGTCCTTATGAAGCAACCAGAATCCTAACAGAATCTGCGTCTGGGAGAAAAGGCAAAAGACGATTCTCGGTTACTTATGGTTGTTCGCTTTAATCGCTCGAAAATGGTGTATGACTATGTATGATATTCAGAGTTTACATCTGAGTTACTTACTTAAAAAGTCGATTGGCGATTATACTTGCTTTTGTGTCTGTTACAAATCCCAAAGTGAGGGAGGAGAATTGATGTGCATCCTGTTCGTAATTTTGTACTGTGTTTTCTGTTCCAAGACGGTCGTTTAATCCTGTGTTTTTGTCGAACTACTACTTCTGTTTTCTTGTTGAATTATTACTACACTCCTTTTCAGATGTCGGTTTTGTTACGTCAAAAACGAATTTTTCTTTCGTGGAAACTTTTAATAGCGAATGAGGACAACGCTTAAAAATTGGGAAGCAGTTTAACACTATCAATACGGTGATGTAGGAATGGCCTTTAATTTGAACTTACTGGTCGGTTGACTAGTTGGTTCAATAGATTTATTTGAGCAGTTGAATTTTTTTGTTAGATAATTGAGTTAAGAATATACGTGCATCTGATAGGGGGATTTACTTCAACAGAAATTTCAGCCAACTGATCGAGTTGCTGACTTTATAAATTTTCATCGTTCCCTTAGCAACATTTTGTTATTACGCCTGACATCATTTCAGTATGAAAACCTTAGCTCCAGTTTATAACCCTGACACGTTCTAGGGCTGAAATCCACTGATGTTAACGTTAATGAAATTCTTCAAGAATTTAAGAAATTTCAGAGACCTGATCTCTCGATTTTCGTAAAAATTTTACCACCTTTAGGGAAGTCATAATAGAAGATTCTGGGGAAATGTGACAGAAACCCTAGCCCCCAGAATTTCACCTAAATCCAGAAATTCGGGATATAGTAGAGAAAACACAATTTTTCTTAAAAAGATTTGGAGAACATTCCCTAAACGCTAGAAAACCATCGGGTTATTCCAGAAAACAAGCGCGTTTCTCGAACTCTACCAGACGAGTCAGATCTTGTGGCGAACTGTCATCGGATTTTGCCTCCTCAGGTGGTGTTCAGCAAGACTGTCTATTATCCGCATTTTTGTTCAATTTCATCATAAACCTACTGCTGGAAATAATGTTCTCGTCGACTGAATTCTCAGGTATTGATCTCCTTCTTGAAGGTCCACATATCGACTTAGAATACGCAGATGACACAGTCTTGTTTGATGAAGACGCTGATAAAGTGCAGAGTCTTTTGATAGCACTGTGCAACAATGCCAGGTTGCTTTGGACGCGTTTCTTTCACCGTAAATGCAAATTGTTGCTTCTGGACTGGCCTACTTCAATACCTGTACTAAGGATAGTGAGTGAAGTAATCGAACGCGTTGACAATTTCACTTATCTCGGAAGTTCGATCAGCCCTAATGGGTTGGTGTCTGACGAAATTTCTGAACGCATTCAAGGAGCTAGTATGGCTTATGCCAACTTACGTCACCTATGGTGAAGGCGAGATTTACGTCTATCAATTAAGGAACGAGTATACTGTCAAGCAGTTCGTTATGTTTTTGTTATACGGCTGAGAAACGCGGCCTTAAGGAGTAGAGGACACTCGTATTTGATGACCGGTGTCTTAGAAATATTGCTCGCATCTACTGGGATCACCAGGTAAGTAATGGTGTGGTTAGACGCAGTGCATTGAGGAGTGATGGTGAATCAATTGATGAAATTGTGAATCTTCATCGACTGAGATGGTTGGGCCACGTGTTACATATACCTGAACACCGATTATCACGACGCGCAAAGCTGACTAGTGTTGGGGAGTTTCTTTATACATAGCACAAAACTTTTTGGGCTGTACGATGATCTGTTCCCACAGCAGATATAACGAATCTTGCATAATTCAGTTATAGTTTCTGTATTACTGATGTTCGTTATGAAGACTTTGAAGTGATCAATAATCCACGCTATATATCGGGGTGCTGCGCTCACAGTTATCTGTTAAAACTAACTGAAAGGGTTCACAGCGGGAGACACTCGATAAGTCGAACACTTTTGCATATTTCTCTTTGTTATGTCGAATTGCGGCAACTCACTTCAGTAAAGCGATCATGCATTGCAATTCGTCCATAAGTTTTGAATGCCATTCTCCTCACTTGGTTAGGATCCTCATTAAAGCATGCAAAATCTTTCCCACTACTTTGTAAGGTCAAAAGCATATTCTTGAAACTATCAAAACAAAAACTCGTAGATCTATAAGGAAAACGTACGTTTACCAATTTGGTGTTTCAAATTATTCACACATTGGACTCTTATAGTCTTTGAAAAATTGTGTTCTACATATTTGATAACCTGCTCAAGATCACTCCCATATTTTTATCAAGGGTACAACAGCTTGGACGTAATCATTTTTTTGATATCCTGAACCATGCATCATGTGACAGGTACTTTTCATCGCAAGAATATTTATGAATTATCTTAGTTGAAGCTATTATGTACCGGTTGGGATCATGGCGCCTACGAAACATGACTTCTCAAGCAGTCAATTTTGATCTTTAAAAAAGTGTGCACAACAAGGGTTATTTACCCTTTTACTCCCTGACCACGGCCCTCTGGCTTCGTTTTTTTTTATCAAAACAACAGACACATACCACATTCTAGTAGCGAATTTCCGACTTTCCAAAGTTACGCATTCTTCCATGTCCGACATAATGTTTACAACTCACCCAATAACGTTTCATGGTATATTTTCAATAACAAACCTTCTGCAATAAATCGATGTGGTAGGGTTATTCACAATACCGAAGAAAATAACAAACCACAGACCATTTTCTTTCAATGCTCTTGATAACATCATAAATGACAGTTAGAAATGAACGTCTGGACAGTTAGAGAATCCCACGCGGGAGCAACATTTATCCTAGTTATAAAAAACCAACTCTGGTTTCCAATATATATCCAATACAATACTCAAAACAAAACGGATTAATATTTTATTACAAGACAAGCGAGTTTGCCAGAAGTAACACCCTGACTAGAGTAGCAGCAAAAAGGGAGAAGAAGGAACAGATTAAAAAAATTAGCATCAACCCTTAAAATAGTAAACAAGTTAAAAAATTTCAGCATAACAAAACAATAAATTATTCATCTGGATAAAACAAACAGTGGAAGGCCATTGCTTACGAAGATGGTGTAACTGATAAATCCGCTTCTGAGATGGTGGAAAAGCTTTGTAGCTCAGGTGGATGATTTTGATGGGGTTTCGTTCTCTTAGCTGGATGGTTTGGTCGTAGAGCTTTCATCGTTCTTCTGAATAACATCATCAGTACAAACTTCAGATAAAAGCTTGGCACTCAGGTCAATCAGCAATCAACAAGCACATTGAAATCGATCCAATTTATCAACCAATCAGGAAAATTGTGCACAAATATAGGAACAAAAATCAAACCAATGGGCGACACAACCAAAACAATGAAGTAAACAATGACAGGTTTAAGGTCAACAAAAACCAATCAACATCGATGTCTACAGGCCATGACGCGAACCACATGTGGAGAAATTCGAACAGTTCACTTGAATATGAAGTCTGTGCTGATGATGTTGTTCAAAAGAACGATGGAAGCTCCATGATCAAACCATCCAGCCAAGAGAACGAAACCCCAACAAAATTCCCACTTCGTTCTGATTAGTCGCTAAGTAAACTGCCAAAATTACGAACCGGAATTGAGTTCAATTCCAGATTGCAGGTGAGCTGTTGGGTGAAACTACGATTTATGGACGACTC